TTCCTCTCCACCTAATAACACTTCTTTTTCTCAGGAAATTAGCAATGTTGGGTTTAAATGTTGTGAGTGTAAGAAATATATTGATTCTGGAAAAATTGTTAATTATAGCCCTCAAAACCCTAACGAAAAGTGATGTTTTAGTTGTGACAGCGAGGTAAATAAATGTTTATCAATAGCCGAAAAAATATTAAAAGGAGAAGAAGTTGATATTAGCAAGGCAGATATTAATTCTAACAAGAAAAAAGAATTAGTTCTTTTAGCTCGGCTAAAGAATGGCGAGGAAGTAGATTTAGATAAAGAGGACTTAGACTCCGAAGACAAAGAAAAAGTTAAAAAATTTCAAGAGATGATTAAGAATGGCCAAATACCGACTAACCCGAAGCCCATTAATGTTCCCGTTCCTAAACCATTAGCCGGTCATAAATATGCCGTAATTTGTAAGGATTGTAAGAAAGAATATAGCACTAAAAATAAAATCCCTAGTAGATGTAAGGAGTGTAGTAGCAAAAGCATTAAAGTTTATGGGACTAGCGGACAAGAGTTAATTATTCCTATTAAAAATGATAACAAGGATAATACTAATATTCCACCAACTCTCATAATACTATTCCTAATTTTCTCCATAATTAGTAGTATATTCTTTTGGAGGTGAGTAAAAAGAAAAAGGTCAAAAACTCAGAATATTAAGGATTAAAGGTCAATATTAACCTGATGGATAGAAAAGATGATAAAAGCATGACCGAATTAGTCAAACGGATTGCTAGTTTACAATAAAGGAAATTTCTTTAACAAGAAAAATTAATTGTATATGGATAAAACCAGTGAAAAAAAAACTATTAATGAAAAAATATTAGAACACAAGAAACAAATTGAAGAATTAAAAAAGCAAAAATTATTAGAAGTTTTGCGGGAATTTTATATTAAAAAGAAAATTAACCACGCCTTGCCTAATCCACATAGTAAATATAATAGCGTTTATCTTACTTATCTTCGTTGAAAAAAGAAATATCCCAAAGAATTGCCAAGTTTTAAAGAAATTTTAATTAGATAGTTATTTTTATTACTCTTTGCAGAGATAAGGTTTTTTGAACTAATTGTTTTCCGCTTGAACTAAGAAAGTTCCGATAATTCCGTCTTTAGAATGTTCCTGAGATGAATTTTAGTTTTTTAGTAATATTAGATTTAAAACTTAGTATGTAAGTAATAAAACTATATAAAATAAATTAAGGAAAAGAAATCCGACTACAATCGGAAATCAATTCCTTAACCTTTTTGGGAAGTTATTTCATGCTTCTCACAATTAGTTTAGCAAAAAAAACTCCGTTTTTATTTTATTCAAATTATTCATTTTTTTTTATCGTTTTATAGGAATTTCCTATTTGTTTTGCTCGTTTTTATTCGTTTATTTGAATTATTTGTTTATTTGTTTTATTCATTTCACTCAATTATTCAAATCATTCGTTTTATTCATTTATTTGAATCATTCAGATCATTCATTTTATTCGCTTTATTCTCTAAGTTTAACAGACTCGAGCTAAAACTTGAATGTGTATAAATAAATAAAAGTATCAGAATAAATCATTCATTACTAAAAAAATTTATGTAACATTAAACTCGAGCTTGGCTTGAGCTCGACTCAAAAAACTCTAACCCATTATTTCTTGGATTGAGCTCGGCTTGAACTCAAAATTTTGAGCTTCAGCTCGAGCCGAGTTTTTGGATCTATTGTGTAGTTTTGAAAATAGTTGTTTTTCAACTATATAGTAAGGAGTTTGTTGGTCACGGTCACGTCTCCATCACTCTTCTCGTCACTTTCAATGTCCATCTCCTTATTTAACAAGTGTATCAGTTTTTACAGATCTTAGATGGTACTTGGAGTGAGGTAGTGTACCAAGACAGGATGTCTGGTTATTGGGTAAGTATCATCAATTTCGGATTTCGTGATGTATTCCGTGACGTATTTCGCAAATCCTGTGGATGTCATATATTGAAATTTGCGCGTCTTGGAATGACGACTACATCCGGAAAATATAAAAAAATTTTACACGTGTCAATTGTAAGTTTAATAATAAAAAAGTGTAAAACTTACGT